CTCAAGCCCAATGTCCCATAAATGGGAAGAATACAGTTTTCTGTTCATACATCATCTGTACCAAAGGGGGGAAATGGTGCTTTCTGATTCAGTCAAGCATTAGGTGATGAATGCAAAGAGTCTACTTCAAAGCAAAATGCCAGCATCACTCTTAACATCCTGCAACAAACTCAGATGCCAACTCAGACCTTTGTCTCAGGCAACACTATTATAGGAGCGAATAAGATGAGCCATAATAACCAGGTGTTCATTCAGCCCCTTATCCCCTGATTTAATGAATCTCAAATATCTCCTTCTATCTGCACAGGCCGCTTTCTATGAAAAAGAAGAGATGGACACGAAGCTGACTTCAAAATCAGCAACATTCATAAACAAATGGGAGAACATCAATCTCCCAAGACATTCTAGTACGGACCTGAAAGTCATCAGCATTCAACAAAAGCACTTCAAAGAGATACTTCAGCTGAAGTTATCAGGGAATTTGATTTTATTGCTTAGGACCATGACCAGGACAATGGTTTCTTTTCACATGACAGATGTCATAAACAAATGGGAGAACATCAATCTCCAAAGACATTCTAGTAAGGACCTGAAAGTCATCAGTATTCAACAAAAGCACTTCAAAGGGATACTTCAGCTGACGTTATCAGGGAATTTGATTTTATTGCTTAGGACCATGACCAGGACAATGGTTTCTTTTCACATGACAGATGTTAAGACACTCTTCATAGACTTGCTGAGCTAATTTATCTACAGCTACTATTGGCACAAGTGTGTCACTGCTTATCTTATATACATTTGAGCATTGCCAAAGAATGTTCACCTAGATAGTACCTCTTGCATTTCATAGCCTTTCAATCCCACAATTTACATTTTTCCCTCTACACCCATGTATATATAAGAGCTACAGAAGACAGTACACCTCGTGCATCTAATAAAGCATCATAACATTACTTATCTTTAGAAAATGCTACAAAGCTTGTTTTGCTGCAACGAACACCCTCTGGAAGTAGAGCAGACTGGCCTCTTGATCCTATCACATGCCTGGGATGTTTCCATCCTTTGGCATACATACTCCAGACCACCTGCAAGACACATATGACGCCCCCCACCCTTCTATTAAGACTGCAAGGCAAAGTAAGATTGTCACTAGCAGCAGCCCCACTTGCTGAGTGCAATGCCAGCAGAACTGAGCAAGAAGAAGAGCAGGGAAGGCAGGGAATTCCCATCTCAGCTCTCTTTAGAAGACATGTGAATACAAATAGCACACGACTAAATTATATGAATGACAACATTTGAGTCCAGGGGCACATGAAAGCTCATACCTTGAATAAAACTTTGTTGGTCTTCAAGGTGCCACTGGGCTCAAACTTTGTTCTGCTGCTTCAGACCAACACGGCTACCCACCTGAATCTATTTATATGAATGATGTTCAGCATCAAGGTGGGTATTTAGCCACATTTAAGGCTGTAAAATTGATAATGCCCTTAAGCTGGCCTCTGTGCTACATATCATAAGCAGCCAGCGTGGTTTAAGGGTTAGCGTGTCGAAACTAAGCTCTGAGAGGCCCAGGTTTGAATCCCCTCTCTGCCATGTGTTGGGGAAATCAGGAGTGCGGGAACCTTTTCATGTACTCCCATCCCCACTGTGTTCATTTGGGGAGGGAGAGAAGCTAGCTTCCCAATTTGGGGGGAGGGAGAGAGTTGTTCGAAACAAAAACTCATTTTATTCTATTACACACTCAGAAAACACTTTTGTAGCAATTTAATATTCAACATAGAATATTTCAGCACAACCCCAATACATAAACAGTGCACTTGAAGTTCTATGGCCCCGGTCACACAGAGCATTTGCACCGCTGAAGGCACAGGAGTCTCGAGGAGTATCCGGGCGTGATCACACGGGAACATCTGGGAGGCATAGCACTCCCGTGGCAAGCCGCCGAAGCCGTGCAGTAAAAAACTAGCACACCGCATGTACTACCAACTCTTTGCCACGGGCCGCCTATGGAAGCCTCCCAGTGTGATCGCGCCGATGCGTGGCTTCCTCCCCCGTCATCCTCTTTGCTGCGGGGAAGCCGCCGTCATGTCTGATCGCATAATAGCGCATCAGAATGCGACGGCGCAAATAGCCGTGCTCCCCCCCCCCCGCATTTTTCGGCATGTCTGGCCGGGGCCTATAAAGGATATCCTTGGTTGCTCTGTCAAAACCCACAACAGAGGGTGGTTGGCCAGAAAAACCAGGAACAAAACTAAATTCAGACATGAACTACCTTTTTCCACCCACAGGAGCTAATGTAAGTGTCAGTCAAGCCTGTGATGAGCATTTGACATATATCTCTGATGTGCACAACAAAGCTCAGCCCATTCTTTCTATCTCTGGGGTCAGGAAGGTCAAGGAAAGCTGGGTTAAGCTAGGTTGACTTAGAGAGTCAAGACTGACTAAGAGAGTCCCAGGAAGCTAGCTTCAGATGCTCTATTTAAAATTTGATCGTGACTTCTAACCCCTGCAATGTATAAACATCCCCAGAGGGCAACAGTCTTGACGCCTTCTGGAAAACAGAACCACAGATTCAACTACAGAGGCTAATTACTATATAAATTAAAATCACATAAGTTTACCAGAGGACTGAGCCTCAATCCAGGCCCTAATTCCACGACACCATGGAAACTTGATGGTGACCTTGGGCCAGTCACATACTCTTAGATCAGCCTACCTCAGAGGGCTGATGTAAGGATAAAATGGAGAAGGGGAGAAGGTTATTATCTACTTTGGGTCCCCATTGAGGAGAAAAGTGGAGTAAAAATCAAGTAAATACATCAATAACAACAATGGGGATTAGGAAATGTTTAAAATATTTTTAAAGTGAAAGTTATAAATGTAGAGACCCAGATTTTCAGGTATAGCTACAAACTGAGTCACATCGTCAGCTGGTCCAGCAACCCCTAAACAAGCACAGCAGGTAAGCACATCTGGATTACTTAGACATTTTCCCTGCCCTGGTTTATGGGGCTACATGCCAACTACAATACAATCCTTATCTCATTCCATGTCTCCACACTTCTGGACTGTAAAGGCTGGAATGTCACATGGACATTGTAAAAGTGCAAAGAGGCTGGACTGCAGTTGCCAAGTCAACCTTCAGGCATGAAATCTTGCACATGTGCATTTGAAAGTACCGCTCTGTTTTTCACACTAACCCTGGGAAAGCGGTTGAAAAATACCAGAATCCTCTCCAAAGGTAAAATTAATAATCCTGGCAAATATTGGCACGCTTGTTAAGTATGAAGAAACCTCATTACCTTCGATATAACATAGCAGCACTTCCAGGGCTCAAAATGTGCCAGTGCTCAACCCCAGAACTGATTAGAATACCAGGGCTAAGTTCCTGAATATGCCAAGTACTAACAGACAGAAGGGCTTCTGAAAAGACACAGAGTAACCTCACCTGTCCCCATACACCGCCAGTAAGGAGCAGCACTCCCTGAGCACATAAGTATCAATGGTCCCTCTAAGCTGTGGAGTCTTGTGAGCAAAAATCCTACTTTGTGAGCTACTGGCCTTAAAGTCGTGAGTGAGTGATTTGGCTGCTGCATAAATGACTTTGCTCAGGAGCCATCCTTCCTGAGCTAAGACAAAAATGTGTGAGCCGGAGGCTAAAAAACTGGGAGCTAGCTCACACTAACTCATCTTAGAGGGAACACTGGCAGGCACCTCTCTGTTTAGAACTCATGCTTCAAGCATCATTTCCTTAAGTGTTCAGAATGGCTTAAAAATCATAGTTTTAAAGGACACACTCAGAGCCCCACCCGCCTCCAAGATAGGTCAGACACTCCTTCCCATTCCTCACATTGACTCCTCAGCACAATCTTGCTGACTGGGGAGAGCTCCGGCTAAACCTGGATAGTCTGCAAATACTTCAGCTTCCTTAGATCGAGTACAAAACAAATCCGCCTCCCATCGCGTTGTGGAGCGACGCCCTCGAAGAGTAGGGAGCGGGGGGGGGGCCAGCAGTCCCCCCCCCGCCAGATTGCTGATACCAGCAAGGGCCTGTCTTGTCATCGCCCGCCGCTTCCTGTCAATCTGGTTCTAGCCTAACTTTCTTCTTCCCATCGCCTCTTCACTTTCTGACCCCTGCTCAAGCGCCACAGAAAGGGTTTGGGGCGGCAGACACGCTTCGGGGGAGGGCAATCTGTCCCCATCAAGGCGAGGAGAGGGGCGCAAACATTCACTGTCTCCTTCAGTCCCTTCAAAACAGAAGCCGATCGATCTTTTCCCATGCTCCCTCTAAGCTGTGGGGTCTTGTGAGCAAGAATTCTACTTTGGGAGTTACTGGCATTAAAGTCGTGAGTGGGCGATCTGGCGACTGCATAAATTACTTTGCTCTGGAGCCATCCTTCCTGAGCTGAGACAACAATGTGTTTGGCGGAGGTTGAAAAACTGTGAGCTAGCTCACACTAACTCAGCTTAGAGGGAACGCTGCATCCCACCCCCAGTTTAAGTAGCGAGCAGGGCTAAAATCCCCATCCAAAAATATCATCAGATCCCGCCCTTCCAAATTCTGATTTAGGGAGAAGGGCTTGGATTCGCAGGACAATTTTGAAACCCCCCCCGCCCCAAATTAGCCGGTCTCCCTACTGGCTCGGTCGCAGGCAACTAGAGGTGGGGGGAACCCACCACACGGCTCCGATCTTTCATCGGCCGTAAACCACCCAGCGCCACCCGCGTCATTCCAACCCGATCGCTCTTCCGAGGAACCGCCTGCATCCAAAACCACAAATCCATCAAGCGCGAAACCGACCCAAGTCTTTGGGTATTCAGAAGGGCCATCCCCAGCCACAAGCGCCGCGTCTGGCAAGGGAGCGCCCAGAAATGGGTTAAGAAGCGTGCGCATTCTTTCGTGGGAAACTCGATCCTGGCAACGCTCCTGGGAGAAGCGTCGAAACTTCTCCTTTCCCACGCCGTCGGTCGGAGACAGCCAACGCACCACTTTCCCTTACCTTTGTATCTGTCCATCCTGCGAGTCCTTCCTGGCGCCGGAGAAGCTGGCGAGTCCTCCTGAGACCGTGCAGCAGCAGCAGGAGCAGCTCGGCTTTCTCAGGTGCTGCCGCCCAAACTCCGGGAGGGTCTTTCCCAAGGGGGACGCGGCGCCGGCCTCTCTCCCCAAGAGGGCTACATTTGCCTCCCAACCCCTCGGTGGAAGCTCTGCTCGTCGGCTCCTCCGGGCCGGCTCCTCGCTCCCACAGCCCCGCCCCCTGCGTGAGGTCACAGAAGAGAAGCGGCTGGACCGATGGGACTCCGCTCGCTCGTTTGGGGAGAGCCTCGCTTGGGGGTCGGAAGCTACGGCCGTTCAAAAAGTTGCGTTAGACACCCGGTTGCAAATTCATCGGAATTCATCCAAGCCCCGTAGGAGCAGATCTCCCCCCCCCGCCCCGCTTTTTTTTTTAAACAGGAGGAGGGAATAAAACCACAATGCAGGGAGAAGCCAGCTCCTGGAAAACAAGCGGGGAGAGAATAATCAAATTCCTCTGTGCTAGATAAGAAGCAACAGCAAGCCACAGGAAGAAAGCGGGAGGGTTTATTTCCCAGATATTATTCCTATGGCTGAAGATACTGGAAACAGTTGATAGCGAGTGGGAGGCAAGGAAGGTCTAGGGAGAGAGATCTGGCAGGGATTTCATTATTTGGATGCAAGTTGGTACATGTATCAGGAGACAGCTAACTGGAGCTTGGGCTAGAAATAGCTAGGCTTGTGAAAAGTACGCAGACGGAGAGTGATTTCAGCAAAGCATACTTTATTCGATCAGGAACAAGACGACTTTGGCCTGCTCACAGGCCAGCTTATATCCCCCGAGAAACCGCCACCCAAAACACACCCCTACTTCCCTATAGGTTATTTACAGTGGCCGACAGTCCCATAGGCTCTAGGCCGGGAACCTAGCCCCCTGATTGGAGCGGGCTAGGATCCACATAGTCCATTGTCTCTTGGAGCGAAGCTCGGCATTTGTCTCTGGACTTGTCTGGACTGGATACATTACAGCTTGTGTCAAGTGACTTCCTTTAGATCAGCATCTGCTTTTGCCGTAGATAACAGGATTCAGCCCCCTCCCCATTTATTTGCAAAATTATATAAACTAAGCAGTTTGAATCAAGAGCATTCACTATTTCAGAGCAGTGGTCTTCTTCAGTCTTTCCAGGCATGGGACTCCCCGCCCCCCAGCAGCTGCAAGCACATGGCAGGAAGTTGTATGACATTAGATTCACCTGATAAACCAGGGTTATGACCTCAGTGGAGGGTGTGGTGCTGAAGGCACATGTGGAGAATGGCAGCACTGAGTGGTGGGGTGGTCAAAGAGGCTGTGCCAGGCAGGGGAAGAGCAAGAAGGCATGGGAGAGCTTCATGGCCTCTGAAGCCACCTGCACTGAAAAAAGGAGCTCAGTCTGTCCCCCAGGGGTCTTGCCTAGCTGTTTTGCTGCACCTCTCAGCATGAATGCACAATAGCAGCCAGTCCTTCTATAAAGCAACAGAAAGTAGCAGGCAGGACCAGCCCATAATAGGCATTTTTAGGCATCAGCCTAGAGTGGCCATTTAAGAGGGGGTGCCCCCCGGCCTTCTGCCCCTCCCTCGCCTAAACAGGGTAGTAAATTGTGGGCCGCCGGCCACCTTTCCGGGAGGGCAACCCACTTGCCCAAGGGGAGCCGAAGGCACCATGGGGAGCAGCCTGGAGCCATCCATGCCTGTGGCCACCAGCAGGGGCGCTTCGCAATCACAGGCTGCCCTCTTGCCCCTGTACCTCGGGCCAGCTGGCAGTGGGGACTCCTGGCGTGCCTGCCTTCGCTGCCCCACCACCTTCTTCCGCTGGCCGGTGGGACCCAGGGTGCCTGTGCTCTGCCCACAGCCGCCGCCCTGGGCTCTACCTGCTCCGCCTCCCTCCACCTGTCCAAGCCGACCCTACCTGGTGGCCACCCCGCCCCCGGCCCTCCAGGGCCCTGCCGGAGCCAGCCCGCTGGCCAGCCTCCAAGCAGGGGCCAGAGCCAGGCCAGGCGGGATTGCCGGACTGACCTCTGGCCTTAAAGCAGGAACAAAGACGGAGGTGGTGAAGGCCAGGTCGGGCACATGCAACAGGTGGTGGCGACTCCCCACAACCAAGGAGCAGCTTTCCAGAATGGAGGGCTTAAGGTTGCCAACCTGCAGGTGGGACCTGGAGACACTCCCCCCCCGCCCGGCATTACAGAGATCAGGTCCCCTTGAGGAAAGGCGTGCACTGGACCTGGCTGAGCTGCCTCCTCCCCAAACTCTGCCTTCGCCAGACTCCCACCCCCTCCCCCAGTCCCCAGGAATTTTCTAACTCAGAGTTGGCAACCCTGTTTAGACTCCAGACACTGAAGGAAGCCAGGAACTCCTGACTTTGTTAATGGCCCTGTTATTGATTCATTGGTGTTTTTATGTTTATTGATTGTATTACTGTGCTAGATCAGGAGCAAAGACACTGGGATTGTGGGCTTTTGAACCCCTAAAGGGTTCTTCCTAAAATGCGTTTATGT